AATGTCACTGAAGGGGCACTGGGACCAAGGCTGTTCTGTCCCAGGATGGCCTAGAACCTGTAACTCATTATCTGACGGTAAATTTCTCAAATGGTTTGGCCTCGTTTAATTGTTTTGTCTCAGTTTCCCTTATTCCACTTGTCAAGGAATTTCCCTGTCTCCTTACTACCCTTCCTCACGAGCTCATTCAGACTGGCAGAATTCACTTCCTTCCGTTGTAGGACTGGAGTCCCGCTTCCTTAGTAGCTGTCAGCTGGGAACCACTGGGGGCATGGAGGCTATCTTGCTACCGGGCCCCCTTTTGTAACTTAACAATCATGGGAGTGATATCTTCTCCTCAAAGGGATTTGAGACCACTTTCGAATTCTGCCAAGCACAGCATCCTATGGTTGCACCCTTGGCATTAACGATGTTTCAACATCAGTGTAACTTCTTCATTTATTTTCAGGAGCTCTAAATCATCTCATGAAGATGGTGGTACTACTATCATGAAGATGGTAGTAGTAGCAGTAGCTCCCATCTTTTGGGCACCAATTATGTGCCAGCACTTTGCTAGGTACTTTACATATCCCTAGCTTATTTAACTCTATCAATAACCCTTAATAATCAACATCCCAGCATAAAGTCTCAATGTGCTTCTTGAATGGTCTAAAGAAAAAAATTTAAGTGCCATGAAGGTGATAGGATTGTCAGCCGTACAAGCAATCAACTAGAGAACTATGAGATTTCGTGTCATTTTAGACATCTATAGTTGGAAGATGAGGAAGCTAACGCTTAGAAAGTTTAACTTGGTCTAGGTCACACAGTTTTGTGACCCAGGGATGTTTGATAGAATCGATTGAGTCCCGGTCTGGGCCAGCTGAGTGTCCATTAGTTTCCTCACCTAGAAATGGAGGACTAAAACCAGATCTCTTGAGGTTTCTTTTGGACATTTATACTGTGAAAACAGCAATGCAAAGATTTCCAGTAATCTCTTTCTTTCAGATCCAAGGCAAATCAAAGTTTGTAGCAGCATCATGAACAATAGAAGTAAGGGAGTGTTTCAAATGGTTTGCATCACACCGGCGACTCTTATCTAACTGAGTGCTCCCTCTCTCTGCTTCTCTTCTCTCACCTGAGAGAAGGGTGGCTTTGCAGAAACTAAAGCCCAGCCCCCAGCTTCTGCTCTATCTCCAAATCCCCTCATCCTAGTTTCTGTTATAAGGCACCAACCTCACAATATCCCCGCATAAAGTCTCAATGTGCTCCCTGAATGTTCTAAAAGAACAACATAATTCTAAGTGCCATGAAGGCGATAGAATTGTCAGACGTACAAGAAATCAACCAGTGAGTTATGAAATTTCAGTCATGGTATGGTCTGTAACAGTACACAAATTACACATTTTTCAAAAAGACAAGAGAAATATAAACAAGGAAAAGCTATCAGTGCCATCTTGTGGAAGGACTTTAATCAAAATCTCCAAGGTAATCTAGCCACACCCAAGACCATGTCAAAGCCTCTACAGTCCACACTGGAGTGCATCCCATAGACAGCAGGATAGCTCCACTGATTGTTTATAGGCAATGGTGCTGACTGAAGGAGGGTCCACTATTTGTTTCCTGTGCCAGAGCCAGTTATTGAATAATTTATATATCATTCCTATTTATATGAATACCACATAAAACCTCTATACTTCCAACACCATGCACACACAAACCACACCCAAACTGTTCTGCTGGTTCTCCTACAAGGCAAGTTTCTCTAAATGTGGACAATTTGCACTGACCTTTCACAACGCCCTATCCCCAGCAAACATACGCACACTCACAACACAATTGTTCATAGTATAATTTTTTCTTTCAAAATATAAACTTAATTTTCTTTTACTTCTTGAATTTATTAGAAATTGTTTCTCTTCTTTCAGTTATATCCCCATCTCTATTAGTTACTTGTGGCTGCATTTAAAATTATCCCAAAACTTGATGGCTCAAAACAATAAATATTTATTATCTCAGTTTCTGTGGGTAAGAAACTCAGGAGAGGCCTAGCTGGTGGATCTGGCTCAGAGAATCCATGAGGTTATTGTCAAGATACTGGGGAGGTCATCTAAAGTCTTGATGGACTAAAGGCTCTACCTCCAAAATAGGTATCTCCCTTACATGATATTGGTAGGAAGCCCTGTTCCTTACTACATAGGTCTCTTCATAAGGCTCACAACATGGCCACTGGATTCTTCCAAGATAGAGCAAGGCAAAAGCCAAGGTGTCTTTTATGACTGCCTAAGAAGTCACACATCTTTATTTCCACAATGTCCCCCTGGTTAAAAAAACCAGTCCTACCAATGTGAAAAAGACCAGACAGGGCATAAGATGAACCACTGTGGGCCATCTTAGAGGTTGACTACCACCACATTTCTTCTTCAGTCCAATTTCCAGAATGTCGGGTCCCAAGTATGCAATGTGTTTAGACAAAAGATCAGAATATGTAAGGCCTGAGGATTCTGACTACAGTCCAAAGGCCATAGGAACCTAAACCCAAGCAACCTGTTGCCTTAGTGGGGCACAGGGACCTACTTGGAGGAAGGAATCCTCTGAGGCTGGCTTCACCTCTAAGGGCCACTGGCATCAAGCCCTCAGGGAGCTGGGCCTCAAACATGAAAGAGAAATAGATGAAAAGATTCTTATTAGCTGGGGAAAGTGCAGTTAGAATGCCCTGGAACTGTTTTTGTTGAGCTTTTCAATAAAAGTCATTTCCAATATTTTACAATGGACAGAGAACAAAATGGAAGGAATACCCCACTGTTTCGATAAGATTTTTCTGGTGGTTTTAACCCAAGCTCATCTTTCCCCCACTGACTTATTTTTCACATGTTAGTTTTACTGCAAAATTGAGTTTTTTTCCTTTTTTTTAAAAAAAAATTTTTTTTATTGATATCAGAAAAGAAGGAAAAGAAAGAGAGAGATTGAAACATCAATGATGAGAAAGAACCATTAATCGGCTGCCTCCTAAGGATTGAGCTGAAACCCAGGCATGTGCTCTGACTAGGAATCAATCCTTGACAATGGGACACAGCCCAAGGCAGAGACCCTGGGTCTGTTGATAAGAGGGAGGGGGCGGGGGGGAGAGCAGTAGAGAAGGGAGATGAATGCCTACAAAAGGAGCCACTGGCCTCTCCAGAAGGAGGCCCAGGTTCATGGAAGGAGGCACTTCTATGCCTCCAGAGATCCGGTGTGGGGGACAGTTCCTGTTGGGGGCTCAGAAGAGAAGAGAATATGTCTCTCCTAGAAATGTCTTCATTCTGGAGAAGGTGGGCTTTGAGCTTGTTCTCAAGGAGACGAGGAAGAGACACAGGATCTTGTGGATACTTGTCTGCAGAGGCAGTGCAACCAGAAATCTTGGGTGTGAGAGGAGCTGGTGGCTGAGAGTTTCTGCAGAGAAGGAGAGAAAGGGATGGATTGGGATAGGCAGAAAGATCGACAGGGAGTTGTGTGTGAAATGAGAGTGCAAAGGAGAAGGGCTTAATCAGGGCTGCTTAATCAGGGCTTCCAGAAAACACTTGGCATGGGGCCTGGTACATAAGCACATTCAGTAAGGTGTTTTCATAAGTATAGTCAGTCTGCGTCACCAGAAGCACGTAGTTCAAATGAGGATATGGGCAGAGATGCTGTGTTCATAGGCCCACCTTCTAGGAACACATGAAAAACTCTAGCCTCCCCAGGGAAGGGTGGCTCATAGAGCCTGAAAATCCTATCTAATAGAAGAGTGATATGCAGATTGACCATCACTCCAACACACAATCCGGCTGCCCCCATATGGACACAAGCTGGCCAGCAGGGGAGGGCAGATGGGAGGCACCAGGCCTGCAAGGGAGATCAGTTGGAGGAGATCAACCCTTCAGGGGAGGGCAGTTAGGGTGACCAGGCCGGCAGAGAAGGGAAGTTGGGGGCAAACAGGCTGGCAGGGGAGCAGTTAGGGGGTGATCAAGCTGGCAGGCAGAAGCGGTTAGGGGCAATCAGGAAGGCAGGCAGGCAAGCAGTTGGAAGCCAGTAGTCCTGGATTGTGAGAGGGATGTCTGACTCCCCTGGAGGGGTCCCAGATTGGAGAGAGTGCAGGCTGGGATGAGGGACACACCCTCCTCCATGCATGAATTTCATGCACTGGGCCTCTAGCCATGAGAAATTAAGAAATTCTGAGACGTTTAATCCAGACGACATGTGGGGACATGAGGATGGTTGCATGAAGAGGCAGGCAGTAGCCTTCCATTTGAGGAAATAATACCGTGTTGTTAAAGATTGTGTAGCTGGGATGCTTGGTTTCAAACTCCCCAGCCATCAGTCATCCTCAGTCAAGCTCCTGAACCTCTCCGAAGCCTCCGTTTGTCATCTATAACTTGTTCACAAGATGGCCTCATAATTAGATTATTATGGCAATTAAATGAGTTAACACATGTGACTGCTTGGAATCGCATCTGGCATACAGTTAAATGCTCGATTTGTTAATTTTTAAATTTCAGGACACCCCATGGCAACCCAGGATTTTTCATAATTTCAGCAATGAAAGAAATGAGAATAGTCTCCGTACACCAACGATTCCTTCTTATTGGACGTGTTCAGAAATTCACTGAGAGAGACAGGTCACAGCCATTTGCAGAGGAAATTCGTTCTCCAAAGAGGAAGCAGATTTGCCATTTCTCAACCGCTTGGCATTAAGAGGCCAAGCCAGCAGGATTGCCTGTGGTGCCATCAACCCCACCGACCGCCAGGGGACAGCAGAGTCCGACCCCGAGTGGCTTCATCCACAGAAAACAATTCTGCATTCGTTCCAGGGCTTTCTTCTGGGCTATTTACGTCGTTCCAATCTCCGCGCTGCCGTAATCCCGCCCCCTATTGACTATCCAACCAATCACCAAGGGGTCTGGATCGGGTCCCGCCGGGACCGGGGCCGGATAGGTGCTCCTTCGCGTCACTCAGGCCTTGGCCCCGCCCCCGTGCGCCTGAGCCAGTCCGGGCTGCCGAGCAGAATGTCGTCGGGGCGTGTCCCCGAGCCTGCGGGGTCCTCCGAGGCGCCGGAGCAGGGTAGGTGGGGGCTACCCGGCCTGGGCGGGCGGGCGGACGGACGATCGGACGGGCAGGGGGCGGAGCGGTGCAGGCCGCTCCTCCCACTGACCCGCGGACCCGGGCCCTCCCTCAGGCCTGGGCGTGCAGCCCCCCAACTTCTCGTGGGTGCTCCCGGGCCGGCTGGCGGGGCTGGCGCTGCCGCGGCTGCCCGCGCACTACCGGTTCCTGCTGGCCCAGGGCGTGCGGCACCTGGTGTCGCTGACGGAGCGCGGGCCCCCGCACGGCGACTGCTGCCCGGGCCTCACGCTGCACCGCCTGCGCATCGCCGACTTCTGCCCGCCCGCCCCCGAGCAGATCGACCGCTTCGTGCACATCGTGAACGAGGCGAACGCCCGGGGAGAGGTCAGCCGGCGGCCAGGCCGGAGGGCGGCCCTGGGAGCGGGCAGCGGGGTCACTGGGAGCCGGGGGACCAGGGGGAGTAGGGGGAGCTGGGGGAGCAGAGTCGGGGACACGGGGAGCCGGGAGGAAATCGGGGAGACCGGAGCCTGGAGGCTCCGTGTGAAACTGAACCGGGAAACCCAGGGGAGGGCCGCGTCCGGTGCACCCCTAACGGAGAGGAAGAACCGGTTGCAGGTGAGAGTTGGGGAGGAGAAAGGGTGCACAGACGCGGGACCGGGGAAGGCCGAAGTCAGAGGCTATTGAGCAGTCCCCACAGCAGGGCTCCATCCAAATATAATGGAGCCATATGCACTCTTTTTTAAAATATATATTTTTTATTTATTTTTTTACAGAGAGGGAGAGAGAGTTAGAAACATGGATGAGAGAGAAACATCGATCAGCTGCCTCCTGCACGCCCCCTACTGGAGATGTGCCCGCAACCAAGGTACATGCCCTTGACTGGGATTGAACCTGGGACCTTTCAGTCTGCAGGCCATTGCTCTTTCCACTGAGCCAAACCAGTTAGGGCCACATGTACTCCTAAATTTCTAGCAGCCACGTTTTAAAAGGTAAAAAAGGGAGCAGGAGAAATTCATTTTGATAATATCATTTAGCCCGGCAAGTCAAAAATCCTGTTGCAACATGTAATCCATACAAAGTGCATTCTTAGTGAGGTGTTGGTGTTGTTTTGGGCACCACGTCTTCTCAGCCTGGTGCATTTTGCATCGCATCTCCATTTGGACCAGCAGCATGTCAGGTCCTGGGGGGTGGGGAGGGGAGGTGGCGCACATGTGGCCAGTGCCTTCCACCCTGGAGAGCACAGGGAGGTGGTGGGGGAGGGAGGGGCTGACCAGGAGCCCAGGCCTTCAACCAGCCCCTCTGCTGGTGATTGGTGCCCTCCTCCCAGCCACAGGTACCAGGCAGCCCTCCCGACTCAATGCCACTTCCTGCCCCTGTGAGGCGTGCAGGATCCTGGGCCTGCCCCAGAGGAAGCCCTGTAGGGCGAGAGGGACAGGCCTAAGCGAGGGCCAGGAGAGTGAGAGCAGGGCGGCAGGCTCCCCCCATCACGCTGCCCCTCCACAGGCCGTGGGAGTGCACTGCGCCCTGGGCTTCGGCCGCACGGGCACCATGCTGGCCTGCTACCTGGTGAAGGAGCAGGGCCTGGATCCTGAAGCCGCCATCGCCGAAATCCGGCGGCTCCGGCCCGGCTCCATCGAGACGTACGAGCAGGAGAAAGCGGTCTTCCAGTTCTACCAGCGGACTAAATAGGGCCCAGCACCCTCTTCCAGCCGCCCGCTGCCTGGCCAGGGCCTCGGAGGGGCCGGCGATGGGGAAGTGGCCCGAAGCCTCCAGCTCCCCGCCGGCTCACGAGACGGAGGTCGACCTTCCTGCCGGCAGGTTCCGATGGAAGGGACGTCTGGAGCTGCACTGATTGGTGTGGGGGTCCCTCTTCTGCCCCCTTGAATAAATAACTTGTAAGAACCAGCTCCTGTGGCCCAGCACGTCACAGTTTACAAAGCACTTCTACACGGCAGCTTCCCGTGAGCCCCACGGTAGCCCTGGGCTGTCGGAGTGGCCCTGTGAGGGTGGCTAACGCTCAGAGTCTGAAGGTTACACTTCCAGAAAGTGGGAGGAGGGGCCAGGACTGCAACACACATCTTCAGCCTCTTAAAGATGCCGAAACTCTGTATCTGTTATCTGATCTGTCTTCCGGAGAGCTGGTCAGTGAAAAGGGCACAAATCCCCCAAAGGGGTCCCCGATGCTCACAGGCCAGGGGGGCCCACATGGATGCAGCCCCTCTGTCTAGGCCCACGTCCCCCACAGGGTCATGCCCTTGACCTTCTCAGGACAGAGAAGGCCTGATTGTTGTGCTCCTCTCCCAAGGGCTGTGGGCCTCTCACCAGTCTCGGGGTGTCCAGCTCACGTGCTTCTCAAAATTTCCTCCGACCTGCCCTGCCCAATAGCATGGCTCATTCTGTTTCTTTTTTTTTTTTTTTTTTTCCTTTTTTAAAATATATTTTATTGATTTTTTTTTTTTTTTTTTTTTAAAGAGAGGAAGGGAGAGGGATAGAGAGTTAGAAACATCCATGAGAGAGAAGCATCCATCAGCCGCCTCCTGCACACCCCTCATTGGGGATGTGCCCGCAACCAATGTACATGCCCTTGACCGGAATCGAACCTGGGACCTTTCAGTCCGCAGACCGATCCTCTACCACTGAGCTAAACGGTTTCGGCTCATTCTGTTTCTTAATGCAGCCCAGAGTATCTTCCAAAGGGCTGTGTGTGAGAGAGAGAGAGATCACATGAAGGCAGGAAGGGTGTGAACAGCCCACTTCCGTTATTCCTTCCCTCCATTTACCAGGATGTGAAGACAGGTGGGAGGCTTGAAGCTTCACCCCGCCTTCATGTATCCGCGCTGACCCTGACCTCAGATTGTACAACAGGTCCTCACACTCTGTCCTCTGTCCCAACCTGGCCCGCCCTCCCCATGCCTTCTGCTCACAAAGAGGGATCTGCCCTGTCCTTCCTCCCGAGGCCCCTTCAAAGGGGACAGAAGAGTTTCCAGCCCCATAAAGCCCTCTGTGCAGCCTCCATCCCCATCATCCAAGCAGGTCTCCTCCGCCTCAAGAGTTCCTCGGGGAAATAAGCATAATTACGTGCCTAAGGAAATCGGTTTTAAATAAGAGTTGACTTGGAATGAAAAACTGTCCTTATCCTCCCATCAGCTCTGGGAGGGTAGTCTGAGATTCCCTTTGGGCTCATTCCCACTCACATTCTTTGCCTTTTGCTCACCCCCTCTTCTGTATAAGGCCACCAACGAGGGGTTACAGGACAGCCATTACCCTTCTGCATTCTGCCCTGAGAGGGTAGGTGTGAGGAACAAGCTCCTCCACAGACAAGGAGTCTCAACATTGCATCAGACCAGGACTTCCAGAGACCAGTGCTGCTGCTGTTTGCGGCTGGACACTTTGTTGGGCCAGGGTGGGCGGGGGGGGGGGGGGGGGGGCGGGGGGGGGGGTTAGAAGCCAGTGGAATGCCACCTCCGAAAGAGTGGCAGTCAATATGTCACCAGACATTGCCAAATGTCCCTGGTGGACAAAATCAGCCCCATGTGAGAGCCACTGCATCAAGTCAGCAAGACCACATGCAGCCATAGGCTTTTGTTTGCTGTGGGAGTGGAGGTGGGAGCACATCCAGGAAGTTCTCCTGTGGATATACATACCGATAGGGAAGAAGGGGCCAAATCAAACACCCTCAAACACCATTACCCTTCTGAGGAGTGTCTGCGCTCATCCCCAGTCCACCCCCTTTTTCAGGCTGGGTCCCCAAGATGGTGGTGGACACTTTTAACATCCTACATGGAGCAGTGCTGTATTCGCAATGAGTTGCGGGTAGGCATGGCTGCAGTAACGCTGACTCCCACCCCCTGTTTTTAAAGTTTGATTCATGCTTATTCTCTGGCATGTGGTCCAAGTTCCCTGCTGAAGGGAGTCTTGTATGTGAAAAACATCCCTGTCCTAACCAGTTTGGTCTCTGCCTGTGGACTGAAGGGTCCCAGGTTCAATTCTGGTCAAGGGCATATGCCCGAGTTGTGGCTTGATCCCCAGTAGGGGGCATGCAGGAGGCAACTGATCAGTGGTTTTCTCATCATTGGTGTTTCCCTCTCCCTCTCTGAAATCAATAAAAATACATTTCAAAAGATAAACAACAACAACAAAAAAAAAACCTGTCTGTATCTTGCCATTCTTTATGAGAAGGAAATCAATTTAGTCTCATGGGATTGCTGTGTGACAAACCAATATCCGTTACCACTAATGCACTTCACAGTTTGTTGTGACTGCACTTGCTTACTGATAGGATTATAATTATCATATTTATGAGGCACCTACTATAGAGCAGGTGTTTACATACATTGGGTTATATCATTTTATACTCACAACCATTTTGAAAGTCGGGCATTTTTTCTTTGTAGAGGAGGGCACTGAGGCTTAGAGAGATGGCTGGCTTGCCCGGTGCCTCACACTGTGCAAAGGAGCTGGCAGCAAACCCGAGTGGTAGCTCCACACGCTGCTCCTTGGATCAGACACCCCACCTGCCAAGACCTGCCCCTGGTTCCAGTGACACGGGGAAGTCCATCTTCATCAAAGCTTAGCTTCATCAAGCTGGCTCTCAGGCCACTTCTGTTAGGGCCACTATTGTCTAACTCAGAGCATGTGGCTATCCTCACCTGGCAGGACAGGCTTAAGGCCCGTGTGCTGGCCTCGAGCCCTCAAAATACCATTTTATGCCTCCTGGTTTACTTAAAACTCTGTTTTTGTTGTTGTTATTTGAGCCCTTCATGCGTGGCAGGCACTATCCCCAGTAGTTTATAAGCATTATCTCTTTTAGTCTTCAAAAGAAACCTAAGGATAAGCTCTTATAATGACCAGATGAGTGAGCTGGGGCCCGGAGGGTTTAAGAAGCACGCCCAGAGCCACATAGCTAGAACAGGATTCCAACTTGAGTTTGTTAGACTATAAACCGCCTTCCCTCTTAGGAGCAGAGAGAAAAGACTTTGCTGTAATTGGAAAATATATAACAGCATCTTGTGTTCCCCGGAATCACAGCTGCGGGCTCGCCAGCTGTCAGCAGAGCCCGTGATTGCCTGGCTTCCCCCCTCCGGCAGGGACGCTCTGTCTCACAGTGTTGGGCCGCGGCGGCCATCAGCCCCAACAGGCCCGCGCTCCAGCCTCCTGCACCGTCCCAACCACAGTCCCCTGTTGATTTCAAAATGAGTTGCATAAGCGCTCCTTCCATTACTGTAACGTTTTCCCCGGCTATTTCGGATCCAAGGCGTACTCCCGAGAAGCCGCGTGTTTGTCCAGGCAAGCGGAGATCTGAGAAACGCTTTGGTGCGCGTCCCTGCCTGCCGTTGATGACTTACTTTCAACGTTGATAGCTCGGCCCTTTGTGGCAATAAATTGCTTCCGCCGCGCTCTCGCCCTGCTTTTTCCCTCACTCGTTCTGTTGCCATGGACATTTGATAATGGAAGAAATTGGTGAGGACACCTCTGAGTTTCCAATGTGTCTGTGGCAAGCAGTTCTGGGGCTGTTTGCGCCTGGCTTTTATAATAAACAGCACTGTGGCTTTACCGGCATATATTGAGTAGCAGCTCTGTTCCATACCCACGCTGGGCCGTATGGAGGTACTTAGTACAGACATCACCCCAGGTGGCACTGCTCACCTCCTTCTGCGGGTTTTATGTGTCCTTGGGCTCCTCCGACCCCACCCCGAGGAAATGTACGGATCTGCGTGTTTTCTAGAGGTGCCTTTTGTGAGATCTAGTTGGGGCCGGGTGCAGCCTAGGACCGTGCAATAGAATGAATAAAGTAACCACACCGAGACCAAGCCCCCAGGCAGAACTAAGCCCTTCTCGACCACGGCCTTTAAGGGGCTGAGGAATCCCTTCCTGTCCTCCAGCTCCTCCCTGCCCTCACACTCTCCCCTCCCCCATCGCCTTGTTCTCTGGGCTCTACCTGTGCTGAGGTCTCCAAGTCTACCCTTGGGTTTGATGATTTGCTAGAAAAACTCACAGAGAAGCTGTTCGACTCTCATCGATAGTTTCTTGCAGTGAATGTTCTCACATTCAAGTCAGCCAAGGAGAAATGCACACGGGGCAGAGAGAGTCCAGTAAGGAGCCGGGCAGAGCTTCCAGGGAGCTGATGGATAGCGCTTTGTTCTCCTGGCAGCAAGGTGTGACCGGTTAAAACGCATTGCCACCCGGCCAGGGTGGCTCAGTGGTTGAGCGTCCACCTGTGAACCAAGAGGTCAGGATTAGATTCCCAGTCAGGGCACATGCCGGGGTTGCTGGCTCGATCCCCAGTGTGGGGTGTGCAGGAGGCAGCCGATCTGTGATTCTCTTTCATCTCTGATGTTTCTCTCTCTCTCCCTTCCTCTCTGAAATCAATAAAAATCTTACCTAATAATAGACAAACATGCTAATTGAGAGTACCTCTGCTATGCCACCAGCCAATCAGGAGTGATACCCAAGTTAACCCAACAAAGATAGCGGTTAATTTGCATACACAGGTACCGAGCCACAGGGGCGGGACACAGGCATTCCGCCCTATCCCTGGTCTCTCAGGGCCTCTGGGCAGCGTGGGAAGGTGGGGCTGGAGCAGAAAGAGGGGGCTCTTGGGCCTGAGCTGAAAGAGGCTGGGCCGAAGTGGAAGGTGGTGCCGGCAGCCAGGGAAAGGAAAGCTTATTCTAGCACGAATCTTCCTGCAT